TCCGGGATGCGAGCGCACGGCCGGCGCCACACCGAGAACGGGGAGGCTGCGAGGCGGCCGGAGCGGCTTTGCCCCGGGATGGTCGGTGGCAGCCCCTCGGGGTCCTCCGGGCCCAGCCCCCGGTACCGGCGGAGGTTCGGGGCTGCGGCCGGTGCGCGGTACTGACGGGGAGGAAGGTTGGGGGATGCAGCGAGGAACAGCCCGGCTTTGCTGGGTCGTTTAACCGTGCGTGGTCCGGCGTGGGCTCTGTAACGACTTTCTGTGTAAATACAGTTAAAGGAGGAGGAGAGAAACGTTACCGGATTGTGAGCAGGGGAGAAAGGCGATTTGGACTCCAAATGGTCTGGTGGGGATGGCAGCTCCTGCACCAACAGCAGCCAGGCGGCTGCTGCTGAACCGGTGGGGATACAGCTTTACTCTTGCTGCATGTGCTCAAGTTGGGCTTTGCCTGCCCCTTGTTGGTGCTTTGAGGCAAAACCTGTTGCAGGATGGGATTTGTAAATGGGTCAGGCCAAGGATTTGGTCAGCTGTGTTAGACTTTCTCGTTTTCCACTCTTATTCTGTGATTTCTCGTAAATATTGATATAGATTTTCACACCTCTCTGGACCTGCCCTGAGGGTGGCAGGCTCTTTGCCTTGACTTGAATATTCATCATGGGATTTTTTTGTCTGTCTATTCTCTGGGAATAACTTTATTCTGTCTGTTTTTCTCCAGAAAACATGAAGGAGGTGAAGGAGCCGAGGCATCGCAAAGACAACAGGCGCCCAGACCAAGAGATTTACAAGCCCGGCCTGTCCAGACTGAGGAGCAAACTTGTGTCACCAAAGCAAGAGGCCCCAGAGAAGGAAAGGAGCAGAGCTGAGGAGGACAAGGAGGAGAGTGCTGGGGACAAAGACTCTGTGGGAGTGGGAGCTCCAGCTGTGGAGGACTGGAACAAAAGTGATGGCCCCAAGCAGAATGGTCCTTCACAGGAAAAGGAAGAAACAGAGACCAAAGGCAGCCTGCAAAGCCAGGAAAACTCATCCAAGCAGCCCATCGTGGATGAATGGTGTCCAAAAACCCCCAGGAGAACCAAGAAACCGGACCAGCAGATCTACCAGCCTGGGAAACGCCTGTACTCCACTGCTAAAGATCCCTCCCTGCTGTCACCTGGAGAGGAAATCACCGGGAGGATGGAGCAGCTGAAAGTGGAGGGAGATGAAGAGACCGAGAAAGGCGTTGGTAGAGAAAGCAACAGGAAAATTAAATCAAGCAAGGAGGATAGAGAGGGGAGCCAGGCAGGGGAAGCAGTGAAAGCTGCCAGGGGGGATAAAGGGAGACGAGCAGAGCGAGGTGACAGGGTGAGGAGAACGGGGGATGAGGTGCTGCCGGGGAAGCTGGGCTCCACCAAGCGCTATTCCCGCACGGACAAGCGGCGGAGCCGCTACCGCACCTGCAGCACCAGCTCAGCTGGGAGCAACAACAGCACGGATGGAGCCCTGCTCGTGGATGGGGTGGAGAGGAGGCAGGAGCGTGCCAGGGAAAGGGTACGTCCTAGGAAACAGCTCTCTGTGTCCTCCACTGACTCCTTGGATGATGACAGGATCGATGAGGCAGAGGTGTACGTCTCCAGCAGGAATTCGGACAGGAGAAGGCATTCGGAGCAGAGCCGAGCTTCCAGGAGTGAGAACGAATGGAGCAGCAATGGCAGGGAAGTCAAGGGACCCTTTCGAGTCAAATTTGTCAGTAGGACCATGAACAGGGATGTCAGCCTGGCAGATACAGATAAAAAAAAGTCCCTGAGAGACTTAGAGGTTTCAGAGGCGAGGAGCCAGAGCAGGGAGCCCCAAGGGAGGGGCCGTGGGATTCTGTTCCTGCCTGCCAACACGGACCTGTCTGCCAGCTCAGTGGGTGTCCCTGAAGCCACTCACCCTGGCCCCAGGCTCCTGCTGGGTGGGGCTGGCAGCAAAGGCCCCCGGAGCCGGGGCCGAGGTGGCACTGCCCGCCGGCTGTGGGACCCAAACAACCCGGACCAAAAACCTGCCCTCAAGAGCCAGACTGCTCAGCTTCACTTCCTAGACACGGATGATGAAGTGAGCCCCACCTCCTGGGGGGAAGCCCGCCAGGCCCAGCCCTCCTACTATAAATTCCAAAACTCTGACAACCCCTATTATTACCCTCGTGCCTCTGGGCAAGGCCCCCAGTATCCCTATGGTGGATACTCCCTGCAGTATCCTATGGGTCCAACCAATGGGGTGTACCCAGGAGCCTATTACCCCGGCTACCCTGGCCAGGCAGGGCAGTACCTGTGTGGCCCACTCTCTCCCACTCCTCTGAGCCCCGAGATGGAGCAGCAGATGAGGAACATGCAGCAGCAGGAGCTCAGCAAACTCCTGCGTGAGGCTGGCAACCAGGAGCAGCAGCTCAGCAACCTCCTGTCCAGAGACCGCATCAGCCCGGAGGGGCTGGAGAAGATGGCCCAGCTGAGGTTCGTGGGAGGGCTCTAGAGGGGGGAGTGAGTCATTTCCAGGGTGAAATACAGGAGAATGGTGTCTCCTTGGGGATGTCTCAGTGTTTGGGAGATGTGGCACTGGGTTGCCGGTTTTTGGTGTGCTGGGTCTGTTTGCAGTGTGCCAGTGGTGTGTGGGTGGTGGGAGGAAGCTGTGGGTGAGGATGGATGTCATTTCCCTGGGCTGGGAGCTAAGGTGTGGCTTCTTGTGCTCAGTGAATGCCTTGCAGGGATGCAGAAGAGCAAGACAAGCATCTGCTGCAGATTTTTGGCTCTTGCTGGAGCTGATGTTTCTCAGTTCCAGTGCTCTCAGTGTTTGTTGTCAGACTTCTGCGTTCTTACCTGTCCTTAGTGTGTGCTCAGGAAGCATTCCGTGTGTTCCTGGGGCTGTTGGTGGCAGTGCCTTTCCAGGGTAGTTTTGCTCTTGATGCCACTCAGTGTGGTGACACTCCAGGAGGAGTAGCCTGGTGATGCCAGTCTGTCAGGAGAGAAGATGCTCTGGGGGTGGTTAACATGGCTGTGACAAGTTTCTGCTTGGCATCTTTCATGTTTATCTGTGACCTCTGTGTCTGCAGGGCTTCTCTGGAAGCTGATTTTCAGAGCTGACTGGCAGCAAATCCAGCAAGTGAGCTCATTTCAGGACTTGTTCTGTGTTTTGGGCACCTGTTCTGTAGAGCACGTGCTGGGATATGTCTGTGATTGAAGCAGCACTAGAGGTTTTAGGTCTTCCTTGAGGTGCTGAAGTCACCCAGAGCTGTTGTGTGGAGGGAGAGGAAGCACTGTGGAGTGCTGCTGTGGCCTGTGGAAGCCCACCCTGCCCTGGGAAGGTGGGCACAGTTGACCCTGTCCTTGCTGGCAGTGTCCCTTGTGTCCTGCCTATGTCCAAGTGCCTGCTGCCAGCTGTGTGGGGACCCCTACCTGACATCCATCTGCAGAAATGTCCATTTCCTTTGTTGTTTGTGCTGTCCAGGTATGTGTGCTGGGTCTGGGGACTGTGTGGGGTCAGGCAGCCCATCCTGGCTCTGTGCAGGAACCCACCAGCATCCTTCTCTTACCCTGTTAGGCTCTTCCAAGCATTCCCATCCAGCTTCACTCCGAGCTTTACCATCCACGCTCTCCTACTGTTTCTGTAGGACTTGAAAGATGATAAGGAATAAGGCAGGAACAGCTGAGGATCCCCTTTGCCATCAATTTGTTCCACGTGTTTCAGAGCTGTTCCTAGCCTGCAGCTATTTTATTAAATTTGGGGGAGGAATTCTGCTCCAGCATCCAGGCAGGGCTGTAGGCAGCTGACAAGGGGAATGTGATTTCTGGGACTCACAGGCTTTATTTCCATTGCTCCCAACTGGTTCATTTTTGAGGAAGCAGGGTCTGTGTCTCTTCTGTGTATTTTGGTTGGATGGAAGAGGTGGGGGAGGATCATTTTAATGGCACGATCTCTGTTGCCCTGTGCTTCTTTGCATTCTGGTTCCTGGCCCAGACCTTGTGCTCAGAAGCAGCAGAGCCTGGCAGTGTGTGTGTTCTTGTGTTGGATCAGGGGACACATGTGCCTTGCTCTTTGCCAAGCCTTGATCCATTCTGATTCACCTGTACAAGGGAGATGCTCCTTTTGGATTTCCCCTGTTGGAGCAGGGTGGGTGTTAGATTGCAGCAGCTCCCTGGGGGATGTGTGTGGATGCACTGAGTGCTGCTGGCAGCTGGATGTGAGCAGCAGGTGGTTCAGCACGTGTTCCCTGTGTTCCTGGGCAGTTGCTGTTGCATTGACCCCTCCCTGACTGTGTTTTGCTGTAGGGTTGAGATGCTGCAGCTCTATGAACGCTGCATCCTGATGGATATCGAGTTCTCTGACACCCAGAACGTGGACCAGTTGCTGTGGAAAAATGCTTTTTATCAGGTGATTGAGAAATTCCGGCAGCTCCTCAAGGACCCTCAGGGGGAAAATGCCCAAGAAATTCGGAATAAACTGCTCTTGCTTCTAGATGAGGTAAGAAGAGAGAAATATCCCCAGATTCCACTAAACCTTTGGGTGGGATTGACTGGTTTCTAGAAAGGGATCGTGTAATGGGGCAGATGGTCATCTTTATCTTATTCAAGCCTCCATGTGCCTTAGGTCATCCTTATGCAAAGAGAACACTCAGACACATTGTGGTTAAGTGGGACAGGTATAGGTCGAAGTAGACATCTGTTACAATTTAAATCAGGTTTGTTTTGGTGTGTTTGTCTTAATTAGAAATTGATTTAAGCTATAATGAAACGAATGCCCTGAAGTGGAGCTAAACAGAAGCATTCCTGGAGGTGTTTGTGCCAACTTTACCAAATTTACTTGGAAATCATTGTATAAAACTGCAGCTCAGTTTAGTCTTTGTACCAGGTAGGCTGACAGACCTGAGAAGATACCTTCTAAAGAATTAGGGTGAGAAAAGGAACTGCTGGAGGCCTTTAGTCCACCCTCCTCCTCAAAACAGGACTTGTTAAGCACTAAATCAAGTTAGTCCTGATTTCGTGTAGCTCAGTCTTAAAAACCTCTGAGGCTGGAGATCCCCCAACATCCTTGTTGTGTTCTGGAGAGAAACAGCCCAAACCTCAGAGAGATGGAACTCCTTTCTTGTACATGGCAGAGCTGGTGTGGTGATTTTGTGCTTTTCATTAGAAGGATCATAACATCCAAGTCTGTGTGTGCATGTGTTTTGCAGGGCTCTTCTTTTTTTGACGGCCTCCTCCAGAAGCTGCAGGTGTCCTACCAATTCAAGCTC